TACATCTAATGTAATTTTATTACAAATATTATAATCACTAAGGATTATGTCAAATTCATCAAATTCCGAACTGGCAAAGTACACTGCCCTCCAAAAAGTATTTGGACGATGTTTTTTGATAATTACGCAAAATACCACATAACAAAAGTACATAAAATTTATGTCATTATATGGCTTAGTTCTGACGACTCTACATATAAAATCTCATTTTTCTATCGTTCTTTTATGATTTTTAATTAAAAAAAAACGAACACCGACCAAAATTTTATTTAATGATGATCATTTCAAATTTTTTAATTTTTTAAAAAAAATACTAATATTCTGTTGGCCACCCGTTATTAGAAATACATGCTTCAATCCTTCTCAGCATACTTTCAATAAGGTTATTTAATACATTCTGAGGGATTTGAGACCATTCTTCTTTCGTTGCAACCTCCAATTCTGTTGCATTTTTGAATAACTTTCTCATTTTTTCAGTCTCCGTTCCAATTCACTCCATAAATGCTCAATTGGATTAAGATCGGGTGATTGAGATGGCCAATCAGACAATACATTTATTTTCTTTTCTTTTATCCAATTTTGTACGTTTCTTGCTGTGTGTACTGGCGCATTGTCATCTTGAAATTTGTAACCTCTACTACGAAATTGTGTTGTGATCAATGGAACCAGATTTTTATCCAAAATTTCAATATAATCTCTATGGTTCATCTTTCCATCTACCTTAACCAAAGGTCCCAACCCTTTACCAGAAAAACATCCACACACCATTACACTACCACCACCATGTTTAACAGTTGGCCTAACATTCTTAATTTTGTAACATTCACCATCTTTTCACCAAACTCGAGTTGGACCATCACTTCTAAAAATTTTGAAACGTGACTCATCACTCCAAATAATTGCTTTCCATTGTCTTATTGTCCAATTTCTTCTTTGCATACACCACTTCAACCTGTTCTCTCTTTGTTGATTTTTTAACAAGGGCTTGTTTGCAGCAATTCTGGAAAAAATCCCAAGTTCATGCAAATTTGTGTGAATTGTATTTTTTGATACCTTAACACCATTAACTTCTACAAACCTTTTTTGAATTTCCTCTAAAGAACTACGGTTTTCTTTTGATGCAATTTCTTTTAAAATTTTTTGATCTTCAACTTTCAACAACTTTGGACGACCACTTCTTGGTGCACTTTTTAAATTCTCTGCATTCTCATAATGTTTGATAGTATAATGAACTGTAGACTTTGGAATATTAAATTTCTTTGCAATTTTTGCAAGAGAACTACCACTTATTCTTAGGCCTAAAATTTTTCCTCGCTCGACTTCAGTTAATTCTGAATTTTTCTTTTTTGCCATTTTTAAAAATCAAAAAAAATTTTCATGATTTTTTTTGATCTAATCAATTTTATTGGTACTCGGTTTATTTGAATAACAAAACTTTTACACATGACAAGAACATGAAGTTTTAGTCATTTATTTATGAGAACCTAAACTACAAACTGTTAAATTTTTATTAAATTTTATGATATAAAATTTCGAGAAAAATAAAATTATTGGAAAATCACAAAAATAAGCCTTGCGATTTATTTGTTGTTCGTTTTTTTTTAATTAAAAATCATAAAAGAATGATGGGAAAATGATATTTTATATGTAGAGTTGTCAGAACCAAGCCATAAATGACATAAATTTTAAGTACTTTCGTTATGTGGCATTTTGCGTAATTATCAAAAAACATCATCCAAATACTTTTTGGAGGCAGTGTATTTGTTATATATATTATCACTAACTTGATTCATTGGAATATATTATATTTATTAATTTATTTATTCAAATTTGGTTGGTACACAGGGAAATACAGAACCAAGTAAGTATACATTTATAATTTAATTATGTAATTATTCTTAATTTTTCTTTATATATACTTATCTATTATATCTTACATTAGAATCAATGTAGCATGTTTGGAAAGCATGACGAAAATACACTCTTTTTTAATTACTAATGCATGAAGTGAATTGGAATTTGTTAAAACAGAAGTTACACAAGAACAATTATCAATACATTTGATGAAATAGCAAATGCTATAATTAATGATGATGAAATGTTTCAAAATGATGATAATGGTGATAATTTAGTTGATGATCCTGATGATAGTGATGAATGTTTGGACATAAATGAGGAAAATAATTTGCATTTATACATAGAAAATCTCATTGACTTAAATCATGAATTATTAATAAACTGATGAATTTGTTGTTGAACATGATGATATTGATTTTGATATTGATGAAATATTAATAGAGTAGAAAGTTAGATTATTTGATTGGCTAATTTTTTTTTGGATCTTTGCATTTTTATGGTTTTTTATAACAAATTTACAATAAATTTTTTGCTAACAATGTGTTTTATGCAGAGAATAAAAGAATATATCTATTGTTTTGATCTGTATATAGTACTATTGCCATTTTGGGATTTGTACCACTTTTAACATTGGGATTTGGGATTGGGACTTGGCCTTTTGAGTTTGGGTGGCAAGTATACTTTTCACCCTTGTTCAATTTCTTAATTCCATCAAAAATCATGCTAAGAGTTCCATTGGGTCCTTTTCCTATAATTTCATCTTCATTAAGAACATAATTAATTTGTTCCCTTACTGCTTCATCTTGAATACCAAATAAATGAACTTTACATGGACAAAGGTAATAAATTTTACTTACCTGTTGATCTGAATGTGGCAAATGGACATTTTGGGCTCAATCATAACTATAATGAGCAGCAGCTTCAATACTGAAATATTGTGTTTTGCCTTGGGAATAATTTTGATTAATCAATTTTCTTTGTTCTTTTGCTAATTTAGTATTTTTATTATAATAATTCCTTTCTAATTTAGCCTTGGACAGATTTTCTTTAAATTTTTAAGTAATTCTTTGGCTTCTTCTTCTTGGTGAGCATTACAACATAAACCATCTCTAAAATGTTAACAAATGACACACAAATCAGTCTTTGGACTCATAATTTGAATCTCTGGTGTTATAATTTTCTGAAGGCATCATATTTAAGGATTTCAATTTGCTATCTTCTTCTAGACCAACCAGAAAATTTCTGTGGACTGATTTATAACTCGTTTCAGCTGGCAAGAATGTAATTGATCGAGTTATTTTATTTTATTGACATTTCTTCCTGGGCTTGATAATCCATGAACTTTTACATAATTTTCCAGAAAATTCTTTGCTACTTCAACAACATTTTTATCAATTACCATCTTAGTTTTCCATTGAGGCATTCTTTTAATATTACCATAAATTCTTGGTAGAAGACCATTTTTTATCATATGATTTCTAATGTTTTCAAAATAAGTCCTACCAATTCCCAGCATATTGAGGTAAGTTTCTTGACAAAGAAGTGTATTGTGATCCCAGTGATAGAAAGTTGTTTATTTAGATCTAGTTTCTTTTAAGGTGTCTACTAGTACTTACTGATCCATCATCCATTGTTTTAAGTTGGGCCATTAAAAATATGTCTTGCACTGTTTTAGAAAAAGCTTGAAAGGATTCCCTTAATTCTGCAAATTTTTCCTTAGGAATTCTTGAAGAACAACCACAATCACAATCTTTTTCTAAAAAATCAATTGCTTTTTGATATTCATTAGACCATAATTTTTTGTATATTTTTACACAATTTGTTCATTACCTTTTTCATCAACTTCGTGCAACTTCCTGCTCCATTTACCAACCTCTCACCTCCAAAACTTTCACTTTACCTTCAACACCTTCAACACTTCTTCCGGCCTACTTTTCTTCCTTTCCAAGTAAAAGTATGAATAAATGCTTAGTGATGAGATTCCATCATTTTTTTGGATATTTATTTGCAAGATCTTAAATGCAAATATGATAGAGTATTGGCTAGTGGTCTAGTGTTTACCATTACTAACTTGTAATTATAGAATCAAGTAAAAAATAAATAAATGGGTTTTTAGGCCAATAGTTCTCCTATATGTAAGAAAAAAAACTAGTGTATAAAGTTGTGTGGATCCTTAAAATATATTCAAAAGAATCGGAATTTGTTTTTAAAATTTTTTTTTCATTAGCACAAGTATCACGTTAACTCATTTGCAAACATATATGAATCAGTGTTGGGAATTCAGGGTGCGGAGGGTGCGGCCGCAGCATATTACATTAAAAAATGTGGATCATTTTATGTGCAAATTATAATACGTAATACTAAATAAAAATATGTTTTTGACACAGACAAAGACTTTTAATACTCAAACATATCGAAATATCTCTTATTACACCTCTTTCAAATGCTAATGCAGAAAGAATATTTTCCCAAACAAAGTTGATTAAGAATAAATTAAGGAACAAAATGAATCTTGATACATTAAATAATCATTTAATGATTTTATTAAATGGGCCTGAAATTAAGACTTTGATTTTGAGAAAGCATGTGAAAAAAATAGGAAGATAATTCATAGAACTATTCTTTTCCATGATTTGTAACTTTATGAATTTGATCATATGTGCACAAATTTTTTTATACAGATCACAAGATTGTTGAATTTCCAACACTGATATGGATTGATCAACAAAGTGTTCAGATTCGATTTTCATATTTTTGGAAATCTCCCTGACTGGAATAAGAAAGAGCTGGAATTATCCTTTCCAAAATGAAATTGGATATGGAAACAACTTGTCAATTTTTTTATTTTAGGGCATCTCGCCCCTATTTCTAAATTTTCCAATTAATAATAATAACAACAATAATGTTTAACACTTATTCCACTATTATAATTTTTTTAATATATATTACACTTGTCAAATCTTATTATCCCAAAACATGTTGTTTTCACACTTCAATTTGTAATGATACGAAACTTTGTTTTTTTTGGTGGTTACAAGGAGGACTATTCAGTAGGCAATGATGCCTTTTATTTAGATCTAGGAGAGTCGTTTAGCAGGAGAACACCTAAATGAATAGAAAGATCAAAAGCAAATGTTGAACTAATGCATAGTTCTGTGTAAAACAACCAGAAACTCATTTATATTCATTGGAGGAACTTACAAAAATGATCATAATCCAGAGAGAGAAAATCCACTTATTGAATATAACCATGAATATGATATATGGCTTTTACCTTATACTGAAGAACCTTTTGATTGGTGAATAAATACTTGGTGTGTTTCAGATAATAAAGGAACTGCTTATATTTTTAGTGGATATACCCAATTTGCTTCAACTAACATATTGGATACAGTTAATATGATTTGGTCAACAGGGTCAATAGAAAATGCACCGTCATATAGACATGGATACACTTCTATTATGTTATCAAATGGTGTGATTTTATATATTGAAGGATGCAATGATTCTGAATGTATGCCAATGAATCTGGTATTAATTATTTTTGTTTAATATTGAATTTTGTATCTTTTAATTTTTTATTAGTTAATAATTTGATTATTTTTTTTAGATAAATGTTTATGATACAAAAATTAATAAATGGTCTTTATTTGTAAGTTATTAAAAATAAAATAATTTAGTTGCTGAGAAACAAATATTAATTAATTGTTGATATTGGTATTGATATTAGAGCACTAGAGGTCAAGATATTGGTTTTCATGAACATCATTCTGCAGTCTTGGGTGAGACTTTTTAAAAAATACATTAATATTATATATTTATATATTGACAATTAAATATTAAATATGGGTCCAAATGATTCTATAATTATATTTGGTGGTTATAATTATCATAATCATAATCATAATCATAAATTTCTATATCCTCATTTAGCAGTATTAAATACTGCACATGCCTCTTGTGAATGGTCAACACCAAAAATTTCAAATAATGCTGATACACCTCCATTGCTTTATGGACACAGTGCAACCTCAACTGACAAATATATGATAGTTGCATTTGGTATATTAACAAGCTATCCATATATTATTTATGGATTTAATTTATAATTAAACTTAGTTAAATTAATATATCTTTATATTTAAATTATTTAGGTTATATAAGTTCTAAAATCAAAACTAAAAAATACAATAAACATTTATATATTTTTGACGTGGAATCTTATAGCTGGGTTGATAAATTTATTGTGTTAGAATCACTACCAAAACAACCTTCACATTTTCCTGTTAATCCTTATTATAACAAATTCATTAATCTTTTTGTCATTTGGTGATTTTAACTTTAGTTGTTGGACATATTTATATGAAGTCAATAAATAATTAGTTGTATAATTGGATTATAATATTATAATATTAAGATAATAAATAATTTATTGTGAAGCTCAATTGATTAATTTAATTTACATTGGTGTTTTGAGAAGGGAAGAAAATTAAGAATCCCAGAAATGGTTCCTTTCCAAATATTGTGGCAACACTTGATGTTATTGGAGTCTTTAGGATTGCATGTGAAAATGTACTTGGTGTTATGAAAAAAATAAAGACATATTGCTTATGCTTCTTGAAGAAGCATTTGTTTATGATCCTTTGATATTAGATTTGTGATACCATTTATTTATAAATTTTTTAGGAAAATAAATATTTTAGGGTTTAGTATTTTTAAATGCCTATATAAATTTATTAAGTGATGGTTGTAGTACTTGAGTAACAGGATGAATATCAGCAAATAAACGATTTGGCAAACTTTGATTTTTCTTTGCTTGTGCTGCCAATAATCTTTCTATAAATACAAATAAATAAAAATGGATTAATGTATATTTGGATGTATATGTGTGTGTGCATATATATATATTTAATAATAATTATAGTTACCAGCTGCACTTCCATGACGTTCACCTTTACCATCCTTTTTGAATGCATATGAAACAGTAATTGGTTTATTCATCAAATATTGGCCATTCATAGCATCAATTGCAGCATCCGATGAATCAAAATTGTCATATGAAATGAAGCCATACCCTTTACTATTTCCAGTATCAGGATCTCTAGCGATCTAATTAATTAATTAATTATTCACAAAACAAATTATATTAATTAATTGTTATCATCATCATTATCATCTCATCATTACCTTTGGAGTTTGCACTATGACACCAAAAGAACTGAAAGTATCATATAACATTTTTTCATCTACATCTGGATCCAAATTCCCTATAAATAATGAAGCACCAACATCTAAATTTTTTTTGTCTGATGTTGCCTAATATAAATAAATAGACAGATACATAGATAAATGTTATTGATTAATAGCGATAAGACTAATAAATAATAGAATCATTTATTACTACATACTTTGTTAACACGTATTGGTTTCCCATATAATTTGATTTGATTCATTATTTTTATTGCATAATCAGCATCATCTTCACTCATATACTCGCAAAATCCATAATTTTGATGTGTTTGAGTAACACGATCTTTTGGTAAATGAACATTAACTAAGAAGAAAAGACAAAAGGATAGTTTGGTAAATAAATTTATTTGTAAGGAGGAGGAGAAGGAGGAAGAGGAAGTAAAGGAAAACTTACCAACAGGACCAGCTTGAAGCATTAATTCCCAGATTAGTGCTTCAGTACATCTTTCATCCAAGTTTCCTATATATACAGTAGCTTCTTGATTACGTTCTTCAGTACGAGACATATTTTGAAATTAGTGTTTGTACTCATGAGTAATGTATGACGAACACTTAATATAGTATGATCGACTTGAAATTTTTTTTTTGAAAAATAACAAAACATCTATTATTATGGGAACACTCATTATTGTCATCATTATTATTACATATGTGAAGCAAAAATGTTTTAAAATTTCGCAGTAACACAAAGTAATAATCATTATATCATTATTTTGCAGCAAAATTACACGAGATCACAGAAACAAAAAAAAACTTCAAGGTTGTGATTATCTACGGTTTTATTAACAACCTGCCTCAAAAATTTTCATGAAATAGATGTATACTATAAAGAAACTATATATCAAATTTGGTGATGATTGCTAAACAAAAAGGGCACTAAACTGGGGTTTGAAAGTATTCAATTGTAAATTTTACTATGAAAAATTCGATGTCGATCATCAAAATTCGCTATTACTACACTCACCTGCCAAAAGTATCCGGACAAAATGTAGATCATGTAAATTTCCGTGACATTTCTGGGTGTTTTACACA